GCCGCCGAGCAGTGTGAAATTGATAAACAGATTTCGCATTTCAAAACATACTTTCACTTTAGATCCTTTACATATTAACAAATATATATCGGAAATTCTGTTTGATATAATCGAAAGTTTAAGCTTACTTTTATAAAATTGCTCTTACAGTCTGCAAAAAATAATAAGCCGGATGCAATTCGAAAATTAAGGAACAACGCAATCATCAACATTAACTGAAATAGATAATTATTTAGCTTATACGTCCATTATACATAAAATGCGCACGCGAAAACGTATTCTGCACTTGCGCACACTCATATGCGCAGTCGTAAAGGGTCTTACGCGCACGCGTGAACGCCTCTGCGCATGTGTCAACGCGGCGCATGCGCAGAAAGTTTTTAGTTTTGATGTCCTTATTATAGATCCTTCCGAATTATGGGTGTCCGAATTAATGACTTTTGACTGTATCTCTCTTTACTTCATAATCAGCGAGACTAACACAGATATTCCTGTTTTTAATCATGAAGATGACCCACCTAGTTATCATAGGGTGAATATGACTTCCAGTAAGGGCCTTATGTATTTTCTCGAAACCGATGTTATCAAAGGCTCCTACAATATCCAGTAGAATCCCAATGGCAAAGTGTCCGTCTATAATTGTCTTTTCTATTCTCCACACGAGTTGGTGTAAGGCCGACTCAGTGGAGAAGCCAGGCCTAAAACCGTGTTGGTCTAAGCCAAAGATATGTTTCAGATTATTATCTGACTGGAGGTGCCAGAAAATCAATCGCTCCAACAGCTTAAGCTGGAAGGATGTTAGCGTGATCATTCTAAAAGAGTTTGGTTTCTCATATGTATCTTTTCCTGGTTTAGGAAGAAACACACCTCGTGAAGTTCTCCAAACCTTAGGAACATATCCTAAAATCAAACTGGACCTGAATATGTCCACGAGAATGTGACCAAAAATATCCCAGCCTTTCTGAAGCAGAATTGGGTAAATGCCATCGTTCCCTGGAGATTTAAAGGGAAGAAATACATCAAGGGCCGCTTTAGCCTTTTCAAAATTCACAATTGTCTTAGCAAAATCCAGATCTAATGGATTATGAAGTAGTTCCAATGGATTTTCCTGGGGGTCAGAGGTGACACTTCTGTCCCCCAGATGAAAATTCAACATGGTCGAAAGTGTATCCAAAGGGTTTATAGTATAACTGCCATCAGGTCGCATAACCGATGAGAGTTGAGACTCCTGAGATCTTTTAAGAATCTTATGTACTCTGGCAGTCTCATGGTAGGACAGAATATCTGTGCAGAACGATCTCCATGAGTTGTATTTAGTTTTCCTGATTTCACTTTTAAATTTCCTTTGTAGAATTTTGAAGTTAGACCAGTTAACTTCAGATTTATTTCTGACTGCTTTCCTGTGAGCTCTCCGAACCTCTAGGCGGAGGCTTTCAAGCTCCTTGGTCCACCAAACTCTCTTGCTAGGAGAGTACTTCCTTCGTTTGAGAGGGCATGATGCATGATAAGATTCAATAATGATATTTGTCAAGTTGTTTGCTTGAATATCAAGCTCCTCGACTGTACAATTATTGTCTAAAACCTGAAGGTTAATGACATTAGAAACCAGGAAATCCTTATAAAGGTCCCAATTTGTGTTTTTAATGTTTCTGAAATATTCAACTGGAATTTCATCTCTAATACAAAATTGTATAAGGCGATGGTCTCAGAAAGTGAGGGATTGTCACTTACATGCCAATTCTCAATAAGGTTATAAATATCAGATGAAGTTAATGTGAGGTCAATGACTTCTTCTCTTCTTCTGTTAACAAAGGTGGGGCGATTTCCCCTATTTACCCAAGTTAGGTTGGTATTCATTATAAATTCCATGAGTTTTTCTCCTCTAGGATTAGTATCAGAACTGCCCAGAACTGCCCCATGACAGGTGGTGAGCGTTAACATCACCACCAATAACCATAGGAATATTGTTTATTTCACAGAAGCTCACAAGATCTATAAATTCTTGCGGAATGTTAAGGTCATAAGCCATGTAAACCGAGCAAAAACAAATGTTTCCTCTCAGTGAACTGTTTATGTCCTTAATTACAATAGCAGTTAAGTCCTCTGATGTAAATTGGGATAATTTCATAGCCTTTATATTTTTAGAAATGTAAATGCTAGTTCTAGGTCTTTTATCAGGTCCCTCTGTCGAAAAGAAGTGCGCGTTCATGGGCCTACCAAGGATTTTACCCTTGTACACCCAAGGTTCTTGAATTAATGCAACAAAAGTGTCTTGCTTACCTAATTGAGCAGCTAAATTATATGAAGCTGCTCTGCTATGTTGCAAGGTTTAACTGACTAACCTTAACCATTAAAACAGGTTAAATGAAAAAAGAACTTACCCTGAAGGATTTTAGGAGAGACTTAGTTAAAAGCCGCATCCTTAGCATACTACTTCAAAGGAAGTAGTGACAAGGGAGACCTATTCAGATGTCTTCTCCAGAGCCTCCAAAGAAAGCTCTGGTTCCGACTCCTTTTCGGTCTCCCTTTCTTCCGTCAACTGTTTCTTCGGAGGATCCCTTGGGCGAAGGAATTGATTTCTCCTGTTGCCTTGGTTCCTTCAACTGTACACAGCCACGGGCACCACAAGAAAGTTTGAAATTCTGGGCCTCCAGATAATCCATAAGTTCATGTTCTACTCCCAGCACCAAGGTATTACCTCCGTCTCCAGGGATAACTGCCTTGATGGCGATCTTCTTAACATCAAGGCCCTTGTTACAGGCATCAAGGAGCTTGATGTTATCTTTTGGTGACCTGTTTCCAGGAAACCAAGCGAAAAACCTCTTCATGGGGGGTCTGTCTCCGGGAGCCATGGCATGATAACCTGGATGGTTTTCTTCAGGGCCGGGTAGATCATTAATTAAAGTCTTCAGGACGTCCACAGTCTCCTGGTCCTCACATGCAATGTTGAGGCCATTCGGCTGCAGGACTGTCTTGTGGACCCTGCAGGTGGTGATAGAGCCATCTATAATTCGATCATCAATTATAGAGGTGATGAAATCTGAATCCACCGATGTTATGTCTCTGGAATCATCCTTGCAGACGATTCGCAGAGTGATTGCCTTTCTTGCAGCTTGACTATATAGCCGTCGTTTCTTGAGGGCCATTTCCGGGGTGTCACCAGCAATGCGTTCTCTCTTACGAGACTCTTCATTGCTTGGATGGTTCTTCCTCACCGGTTTGGAGGTTGCTCCAGAGGTCCCAGCTTTATCTGTTTTCTCTTTCGCTCCCTTCTCCCCAGAGATCGAGATTCCTTCCATGGCCCTCTCCAGTCGTTTCCGCTCTTTCCATCATTGGTGACTGGTCATCCGCTTGCGCATCTGGCACAGTACTTCTGACAGAGGAGTCAGTATCCATCCCCACTGGGTTCAAGGCGTCCGTGTCCGAAGGCACATTCACCCTTTCACCAGCGGTTCTGGTTTCTGTAGTCCTAAAGAGAAGAGCGTCCGCACCCGAGGGTACATTCACTCCCTCAGAAGGAATTACAGTGGTTATAGTGGGGATTTCAGAAGATGCGTTTTTATCTAATTTTGTATTACAACAAGCATCCATTTTGGTATAAGATTGAAGGAAGGGGGAGAAAAATTCCTTCCGATTTTCTAAGAGCCAGTTTGGAGGGGCTAGCCCCAGATTCAGCAGCCAGTAGTGACCTCGGAAGAGCCCCCCGCTCTGCCATGCAGGACCCCACCCAGGCACCACCTGGAACTACAAGGCAGGCAAGATTATACACCAGCTGATAGAGCAGCCAGGACATGCTGGTTAGGCTGCCCCGGGCTCCTGTACTATCTGGCGGCCTGAGACGCAAAACTCAGCTTTTCTCCTGTATCCTCTACATGGCTGCTTCCTCCAAGACCCCTCCTCTCCAGATCAAAGGTCCTCGGAATTTCAAATCCTCCCCACAATCGCCGTTGGGAAGAGCGGTCCGTTGGGTCGTCATAAGATTACTCATCATCAGACCGAACCTCATCCCACTGAACCCCAGTATGCCACAGGACTTTGTGACAGTTACCCATTTAGCACCACCCAGGGGGCACGTGTGACTTAAGGATAATCACGGACACGGGTAACATTACCCCCCATTAAAATCAGTATGTCTTATATGTATATATTTTCAATTTCATGACTGATCATTGTGATATTTAAATACTTAGGAATTTAAAATTGTAAAAATTTTCAGAACAAATTCCAAATCTGAATATAAAGAAAAATTCTGTTTTAAAATGCAGGCTATTTACGAAGTCTCTGAACATCTTTAACAGCTTGATGTTTGTGAATGGAATGTATTATAATTTTGGTACTAGTCGCACTTTCACAAACAAGGTTCAGAGTTTTTGTAATAAGTGAACAACTTCGACGTATGCAAAAAATTTATTATCTCTGATTGACAATTCTCCAGCTGTGGGAAGATGTGATTAATCAGTGTATGAAGGTAAACTCCAGCTGCTGTTGCTTGTTCATGCAAGAAAAATGTGCCTAGAAATCTTGTCATGTAGCATCCCTCATCAAGCATTTACTTTTGGGCTGTCCTGCTTCAACCCCTCTGCAGCATGAGTATTTTTGAATACATAAATCATGTGTATTGAACTAAAACAAAGTGTTAGATAAAAACTTTATACAATAGCACCCTAAAATATGCAAAGTGCCCACAGTAACCAGGTAAAGTTTTTCACAGTAATTTTTTCAAAAGCTCGTTGATTCCCCCCTCCCCCCACACACAAAACAAACATTATGAAATGTAAAGCCATTGACCTCTAAAATAATTTTGCGATCGCACAGTTTTTCAGAAACTTTCAGTGCTTGCAATGGCATTTTTATTGATACCTGAAATTGTATAAATAAGATTTTAATGGTTTGAATAATTTTCTTTGCTCATTACATTTCTACAATGAATCTTTTTTATTTTTAATTTCAAATATGCAATTCAGTAGTATTATTATTTTTCTATTTCATATTTCTTTCAGCTCGACAGTGCTCACCTCGAGGGGGTGAATTACACATGGAATTAGCAAAGAATAGAGTTTTCATCAGTGGAGATGTAGTTGTAGTAGTCAGAGGACAGATAAACTTTTGATTATTATGATTGTTATTATTTTAATCAAAATTTTTACTCTGTCTTGAACACTGTAAATGACTATTGCATTTTTGTTACAGTGCATTTAAATCAAATTATTTCATTTTAATATTTGTAATTCTAATATAAAGTTAAATATGCAGAATTTTAAATTGACTTATTAATTGTAAAGTTTTTAAAGTAGTAGTTACAGATGCAAGATATTTATATATATTTATTTAATATATATTATTTGTAGAGCTGATCGAATGTGTGATAAATAATGCACTTGTCTAAGATTTAAAAAAAAAGTTAAAAGTATGCCAAATTAAAATATGATAAATAAATTAATCATAAAAAGTATTCTGAAAATTCAAACTTTTATATTTGCTTTAGATATAGCTATCTGTTGGCATGGTGTGTTTGTTGCAAAACAATTTTAATTCATTTGTGTTGGACAAAACTTGTACTGGACTTGGATTTTGAGATACAAAATATGGTGTTTATGATATCTATAAATCTCTTCTGTCTTAAGATCTCTTTTATTTATTATCCTTATTAAGATAGGATCTTATAATAAGATCTATATAAAACTTCATTCTCATGTCCTTCTTTGAAGTGATGTTTTTGTGATTTCTTGTGCTTTCTTAGGCTGTGTGTATTTGATGTAAAGTATATTAAATATGTTTTTTAACATAGCTATACAAGGTCACATATTTATTAAATTCTAAATAGAATTACGTTTATTGCTAATTGCCAAATGCAGAGAAAGTGTAATTTGTTTCTAAATCCTCCTTCCCCCAAGAAAAGGAAGTCTTTTACTCAAAGAATGAGTAAAAATATAGAAAAAGACCCAGCTATAGTGAACAGTCATCTTTTTTCCATTCAGTTCATCTTACAAGTGCAGTACCATGAAGTTCTTAATTGCATTTGTAGAAAGATTTTGAATATTAAAACAAAAATCAAAATTTCAACATTAGAAGCATCTGTAGCAATTCTTTCAATGTGTTGGAACCCTTAAAACCCTTGTGACTTTGTATGGTTAGTGATTTTGTGAAGTTTCTCTGCAGCACAGCATTTTGTTTTTGTGATCTAGTGATGGGTCACAACAGAGCATTTATCTAAACTATTTGAGTAAACTAGAACTTTTGCTTGAATACCTATGTGTTCTTTTTTACCAGTTTTGAAATATTTCTGCAAGTGCTTCATTAATCTTCAGGTATGAATTAGTATCTGTCATAATTGAGGGATTATTCTATTAGTCGAATATAATTCTGATTCCAGTACTCAGTTTTAGAGAATCTGCCCACGGTAACCTTTCTCTGTAGAAAACAATTTCCTTTTTCTGTGATTATTTGAACAAATTATGATTATTTATTATGTAATATAGAACTTTTTATATGATTATTCCAACCTGACTGATGATCATCCATGGTTTCTCTATGTTTTGTAAATATTCTGATTTCATTGTTACATACTAAACAGAGCTCTAAAAAACCTATGTGAAATTTGCCATGTCTGTAAGAACAAACATAGTAATACTTTAATCTGCTAGCATTTGCAGATATGCAGTTCAGGACTGGTGCCAGAGCCAGTGTAACCGAAAAGGTTAAGGGTGGAAATTTTTAAAATTTAGAGGAGTAATAAGCAGACAGATTGCCTCGGGCAACAAAAAAAAAAAAAAAAAAAACTACTGCCAACCTTGATCCAAATACATAAACCATACACTGTTTATCATGTTGATGCAAAATGTAGAACAGTGCAGCAATTAAATAATGAAATTATGTTTTTTAAAAAAGAAAAATGATAAAATTGACATATATTAATTAGTCAAAAGTACATTTTTTCCATTAACCCGAATATCCACCAGAAGCTAAGCAGAGGTCATTGAACACCTGCTATTGCAATCCTGTTAAACCGCCTGGCCAGATGTGTATTTTTATGTTTTCCCTTAGAAGATTCCTGCATGAAAGCATCCTTTCCCCTTAGACAGCTGTCGTATAGTTTTCCATCTTCAGTTAAAAGAAAAGACATTAATAAAGCAGTGGAAAGATCTGATAATAAAGGAGAAACTCTGTAGAGATCTGCTTTTTGGTATATTTATTTAGTGTAAACTCCCTCGCCCCCCCCCAAAGAAAAATTTTCTGTTCAAGGTAATTTTAGCTTTAAAAAAAGGGGGGAAGACTAAATGACAAGGGGACAAATCTAGATAATGTAAAATATGGTTAAATACACAAACGTTTTGGGGGACCAGAAATAGCTGCAAAGTGGAAATGCATTTTTATGTTTCAGTTTGAAGATTGCTGTTCAAATTGAATGATGTAAAATGCAGCATTAAAAATCATTTGCTCAGGCAGATATTAAATGACTTATCAAAAATGTAATGTAGTTATAACCGCTCAGCTTCTAGAGACTTTTTTGAAAAGGTGTAATCTGATTGGTTAATTGTCACTCTGTATGCATCACCTTTGTTCCCATTTTAAAATGTTTCAGGAAATATAAAAATTAATTAAAACATATTTATTTAATGTATAGTTTTATTTCTATGTGCAGCACTTTATGACTAGTTTTTTTAATCATTCAGATTTTTCATAAATTATGTTAAAAGATAAATTTTGATGAAAATATCCAGCAACATGATGTTATAATAAATAGGTAATGGTATTCCTTTGGAGTCATGCTAACTGAATGGGAAAAAATGCATAATGCAGACTATTGTTGTTTACTGTACCTTTTCAAATGAACATGTTTTAAAATTGGTCTCAGCATGCATGTATTCTTTTTAGTAATCACCTAGCATGTCATCTTTTTATTGTCAAATTCTTCTCATATGTTTTTAATCATAATTGAGTGTCTTTATAATGCATTGGTCACAGAAAATGAATAATTTTTATGTTCTATTATCAAGTTTCACTCAAGTTTTTTTTTTAAATAATACTTGTCTAAAGTACAAATTGATGAAGCTTTTATTTTGCCTGTGTAACACAAAATGTGTCATTTTTACATAACATTGTTTTGTATTCTTAATAGTGTTTGTAAAATTAAAAAATAAATAAATGCTCAATAAATGTTTGTAGATGGCTTCAGGTACTTTACACTGGTCTTTCTATAGCGTGTCTCTGCATTCGTTTTCGAACAGTATGTTCTTGTTTGCAATTGTTAATTCAGCTTATCGCCAGAATGCTCTGTTGGATTGAGTTCGAGACTTTAAGCCAGCTCATTGAATTCACTCACTCGCATTCCTTCAAACAACTCCGGATATTTGCTTTATACAGTGTTCAGCCTTAAGATCTCTCTTTGAAACACAAATTAAAACGGCAATGTAGATTCTGTTTCAGATTTTATTTTACTGTCATATAGAACAATGTTTGCCAGCTTTGTTTTAAAGGCGACAATGTCGAAATGCTTGCCCCCATGAACTATCCACTCACCTGAAATTCTGCAGTGGATATCTCCAGTACTTCTGTATTTCATTGTAATAGCATCCCCTTAACTGCTTGCGACCTGCATTTTAATCTTTAATGTATAACCTATAAAAATATGAAGGAAATTACCAGGCGACTTCATTTTCCAATATGGTGACATTGCAGAGCCAGGTTGTTTACCAGATCTTTCCCCTCATAATTATTTTTCTTGAAAGTACCTAAACGTTGCCGATTTCAGACATAGACTGCAGATAATTGAGGAACTGAAAGGTGTTGTATGTAGTGAAATCAAAGCAGTAGTGACCAGGTGGACAGCAGAATGTCCGGGTAAGGCTTCCAAGAGTGTATAGCCTATCAGGCAAAACTGGGTTGATTATTAAGCAAAATAAGCATTTGCTTAGGGCATTAATGAAAGGAAAGCACGTCAAGAAGGTGCTCAGGGGCTCATGAAAACAAAGCACCAAATTTTTTTTCATTGCAGTTTTATCATGGATTGTATAGCACACCTAAATCAAGAGACAAGAGAAATGGAATAAACATTTGGCTTAAATTTATGTAAGGCATCAAAATCTTTTAACTGCTTAGGGCTTCTAAAAGTGTTAATCTGGCTCTGTTGATCTGGTAAGCATTTCGATGATGAAATCTGTAGAACAAGCTGATTGCAAAATGGCAGATATTATTCTGTATTTGTAACTTAAAAATAAAATTTAAAATATGATCTCATTTGTGCTTTTTCTATTTCTGTTTCAAAATGAGAAGATTTTTCTTTTCCCCTGCAGAGCCCTTTATATGGGCATTATCTTATTGAAAGCAAAATGAGCCAGGTTTGAACTAGTGCAATAGAACAGACAATGGAAATTATTGTCCAGCACTGACAAGAACTAGTGGTCTAAGAAAAACAGGTCTGCAGAAGTGTTCATCCCATGCTATATTTCACAGTAGAGACAATATATATTATAGTTCGACCGCCTCATCCGCGACCATGAGTGAAAACACGCATGCGCCATTCGGACTGACTTATTCTCAAAATAGGGTGGAAAGATGGGGACTTTCTTTCCCTTCAGCATAGCTCTTTCCGGAGAAGAGAAGACCTTTCACGTCGCAGCAAGTAATACCTCTCTTTTTGGGCGAGTCTATATGTTTTGGCAGAATGCCAACCAGGGTTGCGCTTGAGATGGTTGAACTATAGTAAGTAGCATTTCCTCAAGTAATTACTATGTTCACATACATCTGTTGAATCTCCACAACATGTAATATGATTTTTTTTTAACTCTGCATGTTTTTTTTTTCATTGTTTCTTGTCTCTAGGCATCATACTTCATACTTTATCACGCTTTATGCTATTTTTTTATCATTGGCGATGCAAATTTGCCTGTGGAATCCAAGTACAAGTATACAAATACAATATTTTCTGAACTCAATCTGAAAAAAGCCAAGTCTTCAGCTACATCTTCTAACAAGGCTAATAAGGATTTGACTTAATCAGGTGTCAAAGGTATTCATGATCCTGATTTTTCATTATTCTGCTTCCCAAATCAGAGCTGGAGTTTTAGAACTCACATTTCCATTTGATTTCTGTGTCAGTCAGTCTTGCTTATGGTTTTTTTAACATACTAAAAATCTTATGGATGGAATGGTTGAATCCAGTGAACACCAATGATCGTGCCACACAGTCTCATGTTTATCATTTTATTGAATTCATGCAGATGCAAAGCAGCCATACTGGGCTACAAATATTTTTTAATTTATAGAAGCACCAAAGAGCAAAATAAGAGTTCAGGAAAGGCATTCATAGTGGAATTTAGGAATAGTATTTTTTTTTTTTTTTTTTTTTTTTTAATTTAAACACCATGCAGTAGAATTTAAAACTCACAGAGACTGCACCGGAGGCAAAATGCCCTGGATTAATGATATGTATCTGTGCCCTGCAGGTGTTACTACTAAATATTCTATTTTTGAAAGCATATCACTACTGAACAAATGTGTTATATTCATATATTCAGGGGTAAAATTTCTCACCTGCTTCACTTAATGTGTCCTTTTGTGTCTCGTTTTTAGGAATGTGACGTAAAAGGTGATATTTTTGAAAAACGAAACATTCACTACTTCTTTTCAAAGCACCATTGTTTAGATCTCCAAAATTCGGGAAGGTGTTATTTTTTGTAGGTTTTTTTACTATTTTTAAATCCCCCCCCCAAATAGGCAATAGTTTTGGGTATGTATAGTAATTAGGGTTAAATATCAGAAAAGACACATCAAAATGAAAAGTAGAAGTTTAAAAAAGTTACATAATCTGCAGTAAGAAGAGATTTTATTTTTATTCTACCAAATCAGATAATAAATAGTAATTTGTGGGCTTGATATCTCTGAATCAAATGACGGCTTCAATAGATGAGGGCTGTATTTATGAATGCTGGTCCCTTTTGAAGGATGTCGTTCCTCGTCCCTTTTTTGGAGCTTCAGGATTAAATGCTTTCATTATATCACCTACATTAGGTTTTACATATTTTACAGTAAAATTAACTAACTATATTTCAGTATTTATTTTTCAAAGTGTTTTAAACTTCAGCAGTGGGAGTAGAAAAATATTATGCTTATGTTAAAATTTCTGAAGAATAAATATTTAACATTTCAAAAATCATGCTTTTTTTAACCCTTCTCTATTAATTAGACATAGTGACAAAGATTCCAACTCCACTGAAAATAAGTTCATTCGCGGGGTCTCCCACCTCATAGTCATACAGGGTATTTAAACATTTTTAGAATGATTTCGATACAGAATTTTAAAAAAGCAAACGTTTTGGAATTAAAATTTATATCTACAGCTTATTCTTTCAAATTGGTAGTACATCATCTGCTACTTTTTAATTTGTATCTTTAAAAATATCACGTGTAAAAAAGCTGTAAATTGAAGATTATGATTTTGCGCTTTCCGAAGCGAAGTATTCCTGTTAAATAATTCAAAAATGTTGTGGAATGCATGGTATTAGAATTTCTATGTGCAAAATGAGAAGCATTTGTAATTGGAATGGGAAAAACTGTCAATCATTACCTCTGCATGGAACGAAGACTCCAAAAGAATACTTGGAAAAGGTAAGTAAGTACTGTTCCTAAAGTTAAATTGTTAGTAACAATAGAAAATCGGTCAATGCAGAAATCAATTGCAAAGTCTGTAAATATATATGCAGCAAACTATAAATAAAATAATAAACCAAAATTTAGAACTTCGAAAGGCTAAAAAACAGAATGCTCGCCATCTTTTGCTGAAGCATGTGGCACAATGTGAAGCCCGGTGGTGCAGTGGCTAGCACATATCGCAGCACCGGGCCTCGCATTGTGGATTAGCGCATCGCGCAGCAGCACCACAGGTCCGGGGGGGGCCTTTCATCCCTTGATTTCCATCACTTGGGTCAATAAAATGAGTACCAAGTTCGCTTCAGGACTAAACACTGGGGTCCTGCGACAAGCTGTCCACTTGTTCAGGTCATATGCTTATGCACTCCGGGAACCACGGTCAAGAAAGCAGATTTCGGGCACTACAGCTGTTATGCCACTGAATTTAGTTTATGTGCACAACACAAAATAGTTTGTAGAACCCTGTATGAAAACTATTTAGTTACTAAAATGACTGAAATGGAAATACATTTTTAAATTCACTCTATTGGTGCGTAATTTTGTTTGGTATCCTCCAGTATAATATATGACTGACTGTATTTTGATAATCAAAAAGAGCATGATATACAAGCATAATTTAATTTAAATGAAGATAAATTGCAATAAAATTCAAAGATAAGTACTATGAAATATTTTTAAAAAAAAAGGGCTACAATCATCAAAAGATAATGGAAATTTCTAGATGAATGTACTGTAAAAGGTTTTAATAGTTGTGTGCCAGAATTTTCGTTTGGAAACAATGTAATTTTTTACAACTTATTGACGGATTGTCTGTCTTACAAGACGTGCTTCTGTGAAAGGCTTTACAAGAAAAAAAATTGGCCTCTGTGTATGTTACGTTTGAAAACCCAATAGTCAGGCGTCCTGTTGTATGTGTTCTTTTGTAAAGAACTGCTGTGATATATATGAAGGAATGCTCACCATAGAAACATTATACCCAAATAAAACTGCTATCATGAATTCCATTTCTGAGGAAAGGGGGAGTTGATGCAGATTTTTACTTATTTGACTATTAATAACTGATAAATAAAGTAATATTTTAAAACAAATTTTACTTCCTTGTATAAAGAAAAGAAACCTTCGTAAACATATTATTTAATCAAGAAAACCATCTCTTCTAAGGTTAAAAAAACTTCGTTTTTGCAGTGACAATACTTAACAAAATTTGTAGTTTGCCTTTCGATTTTTTAAGTTAGAAATTTTCTGTAATAATGTTGAAATTGATCATTCTAGATTTATAATACAAATATTATATCAATTAAAAAATTCGGTACATCGTTATTATAACTTCGACTGTGAAACTCGCGAAGCAGAGCGATTTAGTGCCAATTATGGGTACGCATGACGTTACAACAATCTCTGTTTTCATTTGATATAATCACGATTGATTCTCATTTGTTTTTATGAACAAGTACATACATTAACTGATATTCTGTATTTATTTCCTGCATTTTGAAAAAGCGGTGAATTATT